ACATTGTACGTGCATGTGCACGCGCAAGGCAAGGCGAGACGAGACGAGACGAGGCGAGGCGAGGCGAGGCGAGGCGAGGCGAGAAGTCGTCCTCAAGAGGAAGAGACTGAGGGAAAGGATTAAGACAACAGGGATTCGGCTCACCTTTTACAAACTAAATAAGAAATCCTCGGCGTCAGGAAGAGTGCTTCACACGACGTTGTCGCGCATCAACCGGACCTTCGGCAAAAGCTGCACCGCGGATAACATCGCCTCCACCATGCCACGATGATGCGTACTAACACTAGCTGCACCGTGCCATACCGTCCAGCCGCGCACACGCCGTACGGACATTATGCCGCAAAGATCACCAACTATGGAAGTGGTGGGAACAGGATTCTCGACCATCGAGCCGCGTAAGAGTCGCACAACCGATCGGTGGACGGTGTGGCGCTATCTGGAGCGATGGGAACACACTTGGTAACGGGGCGTCGCGAGATAAGAGACATAAGTATAGCTAGAGAGCCAGCCATTAAGCCATTCCACTTCATTCCACTCCAGGCGATAACGTCCAAAAGGTAGGACATCGGCTGCTCGGAGGAGCAGCGGTGAGACGATTCGTCATTCGATGAAAACGAAAATATCTTTTATACATCGCCAATCAATATACCTGCAATATAGTTGCAATGTTAACTTATGTGCGAATAGATAAATAATTACGATATTCGTGTTCGTCTATATAATCATTATTCACATAATAAATCGTCACTCGTGACGCAGAATTAAAGATATAGGGCAACGAGATAAAGTATTTTCCTGCGCCGTAAATAATTCCATTTGTATCACACGATAGTAGAGAAACAACATGAAAATCTATCAAATGAAAAAAAATTAATACAGAGGAAATGGAGAAATTTAAGAATTCTAAAAAGAAATGAGTGAAATATTTTTGATGAAGAAATTATTGAAATATTCATATTCAAGCCTGTTTTATATTACAAGATTTCATCCACAACTCCTAATTCTCAATTCTTAGTCCGTTTCTTAATCCGTTTCGATTTCAAAGTATGATATTCCAGTTATCTTTTCGTAGCGGACGTATTGGAAGATTTCAGCGTTAAAACTCGAATCGAAACAAATCCGCGTTCTTCATGCGTGTCAAAGAAATGCTCCCGCGTGACGGGAAGCAAAACTTATTTTTGTTTCAAGGTACTTCTGGAGATACGAAGTTTATTTATAGAAATACATTCTCTCCGGTCTGACTGTCAGCCGCGTAAACGGAGAAGGAAGCGCGAAGAAGGATTTACAAAGAGAACATGCGAACGATAAGAGCGGGCGGTGCATCGGTCGTCGTCGTTTCCTGAAAACGAAAACTATTAATCTCACGCAAACGAACGTGAGAAAAGTATCGTCTCGTGAAAGTGCATATATTCCCACCAAGCTTTTCTCATCGTCGGAGAACAATTCTTTCTTCTTAAGCATATAAAAAAACAAAGAAAAACAGTGCAAAAATGATAAAATATTTGATAACAGTACCTTTCGTCGAGAAGGATGAATTGGCGAAGAATTGTGGAGAGTCGCGGTTATTTCTTTCAGTACGATTCTTGTGCCTTCGCGAACAGATCCTCTTGGGCTCGACATTCTCAGGCTCTCTCTTTCTTCAATGCAATGAATATTTATCTTGATTTCCTAGTGCGAAATATCATAGATAATGCCATTTTTATTTTAATCAAAAATAACATTTGAAAAAACACAAGAATATTTAAACGTTTTCTTCTATATATTGTTCCTATATTTGTACTGAATTTACTTAAAAAAATGTAATTATATCTATTTTTTTATGAAAAAAAATCTGATTCTTTTTTAAGTTTTGAAAAAATTTCATTATTTGCGATGTTGCCCAATCTCCGATTAACTTTATCAACATTATTTCTTTAAGAGTAATATACGAATAAATCTATTAAATTAATTAGTAGAATTATATTTAACATGTCGAAAAAAGTTAAGAACAAATTGTACAGAGATTTTGTCATAAGCGATTCTATCGGTCGATTGTTCATGATGTTCATTTCAAATTTCTACTAATATCAATAGTAAGTTGAGCCGAGATTAAAGTTAATCTACAGGTGAAAATAAATATTAACGGAGAATTAAGTTGATCGGAGTCGAAATCATCACCCCCTATATATATATGATTTCAAGAATACGATGAGACGACAATGTCTTACAAGCCGGGTCTACAATGAGTCGGTAGTCTTACAAGTTGGCTGCTGGCCAATTTTCTACCAATAATTCACCGATTTCGACCAATCCACCGACCATCTTTCAGACTCGCTTCCGATTCACCGACTCAATGTAGACTCAGACTTGGAAATTTCGTTAACAAAATTAAGAGTCTCCTTCGTTTCTCTACCCTTTCGAAAAATCAGCTTATCGCGAAAGATCACATGCAAAAAGGAATGAAGATTTAACTTTACTTACAGGAAATTGAAACACTCGAGGTCGGCAAAGCTCTTGTACTTTCACTCTCTAGACTTGCTTGAAGAACAAAGAAAGTTCTTTTCACACGCAGAGGCGTGTTTACACTGGTACTTCTGTCACTTGAGATGTCACCGGCACAAGCGATAGCAAGCGATAGCGGCGAATGTGGCAATGGCAATACCGGCAACACGGAATCCGACAAACACACCTCGACACCCCACGTAAATTCCTAGTTTACGCATTCAACTTTCACACCACCGTCAACGTCAATCGGTTCCGTCCAGTTACAAGTCTGCACAAGTCTGCGACACGAGCAAGCTGGAGCAAGCGAGCGAATTCGTTGCGCGTTTCACGATCCTTTGACTAACGGCTGTAAGCAAGCCGTTTGATAAACTTGAATGTGAATGCATTGACGAATCAGAATGCACCATTGCGTTTAACTAGCCGACACACCGCGGCGCCACTTGTAACAGTTTCGGGTTTCCGTCGCAATCGGTAAGGTAGTACTATCGAACGCGATCGAACGGTCCGCGATACATCACTAATCGATCATCGTTCAAGTTAAATTTGAAATCAAAAACTTGCGGTTCCGTTTCCCGCCAGTCGCGTCTGTTGCGCCGCGCACCATCGATCAATAGCGCCGTCGTGTTCATATTTCCACTTGTCTGTAGATTAATTTTAATCTCAATTTAACTCATTTTTTATTTTTTTTCCGATTCTAAAAGTTAGAAATAAAGAATAAAGAGTAAACCGAGATTAAAATTAATCTACATTGCTAAAAATGGACATTAGTCGTGCTTAATTGAATTCTCTCTTCGACTCGTTGACATCTAAATTTATTATTTAAATTAAGAAATATATACAAAAAGGTAGATGATCGTTCGAGCCGAAGATTGTTTTATCCACTATGAATCCGTGATCCTTTGCGAAACTACTTTGTGTGTTTTCTTATATAATTATATCGCCACGATGAATTCATTTTGTTATTAGATAACTGAAATCAGAATGAATAAATTTTTTTACAATAATAAGTAAGTTTGCAAAACATTTATTGTCAAACTCATCATACAAATATGTATAAACCGCCACGTTATTACATGCCAGGCAGTGCAAATTCACCACAAAATTTTAATGCTTACTCATTAAAGGTTATTAGTCTTTTTTTTTATTTTAATTAATCGTCGTACTTAATCCTTGCACTCATCCCTCACCATTCATTCTCAATTTAAGGATATAAAGGTATTATTTTTAATAGACTTTCATAATATACATAATAAAAAACACATTCATCCGGCCAGGTAACGCACCGCCGTAATACATTGTATTACAATAAAGCGAGTTGTATAAAAGAATACTATTCACAATGCTCTCTTTCGAAAAACAGGTAAACATTATTTAAGGACACTTGCAGGCATTAGTATTTCCCTTCTTACATTCATAAAGTTTATAAAATAGCAAAGACAAGAAGAGTCTAATCTATTAATGTAAGACTAAAATTTTATTGTATTGAGCACAATCACAGAAAGCAGTCATATAGCTGCTATTTAAAATGAATTGGTAAATGTGCTTTGAGAGGCATTTATAAACAATGCGAAGCCATAAAGCAGGCTTTTTCAAGTGTAATAAAATAAATGATGTTGAATTAATTGTGCTATTTTATATATGATCATTTGAAAAATGCTTGATATCTTGTACCGAGTCTTATTGCTATTTCAAAAGTGCAATCGTTCAGTACCGGATGCGATTAGGAAGCATCGTATTATTTACAATAATGTGTCAATAATGTTATCAGCATTTCCCCAAATCTGCACGTACTTTTTTCAAAATAACTCATGTTTCTATCTGAATTATTGTACTGTAATTCGCGACTATATGGTAAATACGTATAACAATTTACCATATATAATATATGCGAAGAGATTATAAATATTTATAGTTATGTATAAGGATGTAATTGTGGTGTAGGGCATGTTGATAACGGAGAGCTTTTTTGATTACTAGACGGCGGAGTTAAAAGGCCACTCTCATTTGGGCTTTGTCTACCAGGTTCAACATTTGTATCCGAATCGTTCACATAACCACTCGGGATTTCTCCAGCTAATCGTTGCTGCGCCTTTTCCAACATATTCAA